AAGTTCTGTTTTCCATTCCTGGGGAGGGAGGCAAGTTCATGTATCTGCCCCTGGGATGCATCCCTCCGGGAAAAAATTGGAAGGTATTGGGTCCAAAACGTTTTTCAGAGTTTGCAACCGATTTTCTGAAACTTTGTACGTTTGCTAAACTGGGTTTGATCAGTCAAGAATTGAGGACACGATATGTATATTGTTTCGCTGTTTGAATGAAAACTTCGAGCTGACAAGACTGTGCAAAACCTGGAAAAATGTTGAGCTATAGTATACTGACCTCTACATCCCAATTAGACTGTTGTAAATAGCGCATCGCCGTAACATCTTCAGCCCCAGTTACTGCCATGAACTCTTGCACCAAATCAGTGATATCGTCGCTGTCAGCCATGTCGTCAAGACTCGACTTGTGGACTGAGAGGACAGTCTGTAGGGTTGTGCTTGTTAACGAAGTTGGTAATATATCGATAACGTAGCTCCTTACAAGTTGATTGGACAACGATGGATCGAAAGAAATCGGAGTATCTCCTCGTTTTCATCGACTAACTCCGGAAACTTATTCCGTTGAATACGCGTGCGCGAAACTGAGCAACCAGGCCTTTGCTATTTAACATTAATGCGCCTAGTGATTTTCCAATCAAGGAGCACTTATAGTCGTACTGTTTTCCAAGAATGGTGGCTTTGCGATAGTGCGCTTATGCAAGAGATTTACAGAGAAGATGCTCAATAATCCTGCTGCAACGAGTGGATAGTCGTCAGATTTGCCTCAGGTGATAAACCTAGGGGAGTAAAATCATGGTTTTCTATTTAATGTAGGCGAATTTATACTGCGAATGGTACAGCTCTAAATTTATTAATTTGTTTTACACGTTTAGGTAGATTTAGGTAGACCCTAGTTTCGAATATCGCCATGTTTTCCTCGACATTCTAATCTCGTATCACCAGGTGTAAAAGGTGATATTATTAATCTAAGTGGAATTTAACGATTCCCAGTTTGAAGGTCTCAGGGAGTAGCAAGAATTTTAAAGACCTTGATGGAACCTGGAATCTACTTGGAATAGCTGTTACAAACCCTTGATCGGACATCAACTTTGGCTACTTTAGCATTATTTCTTTCTGTTGAATTTGTGTCTGTCGCGTTAGAAAATACAACTTTGCAAGCAACTCCCAGCTGACAGTAAATCGCAATTATTACGACCGTGTGGCCTTGGCGAATAACAACGCGCGCTAAAAACAGGCCGTGTTATTATTATTATTATTATTATTATTATTATTATTATTATTACTATTATTACTATTATTACTATTTTTGTTATTATTATTATTATTATTATTATCGTTACAATTGTTCTTTTTTTGGGTTATTTGATCTTTATTATTATCCTTAGAAATCTCATTTTTGTTACTTTCGCACTTGTTAATAATTACCTATAGCGAGTCAAAGTTGGTTTCATTTTTTCGTGCAGTATTATCACTGGACATCGTATAAGAAAGCGAACTTTTAACTGTTTAGACACTGACTGAGCAATAATTGGTACAAATCCTCCCTCTCCTGTTCATTAAGCGGGAAGGTTGAAGGCTGGGTAACAAGGAAGCCATTTTAAGTCAACTTTAACGAGGTAAATAAACTGCGAACGGTTTGGCATTGATAAAATTCTCAGCGCGCGTTCAGTTTGTATTAAAACAGATAAAAAATGTTAATGTCGTCCTTTCGATTGCTAAAGAAATCACGGCAAATTACTCGATAAATCAAAATTTAAAGCTCATCATCAAATGGATTATCACCTAATTGCAATAGTAACGCGAAATTGAAAGTCATGGAGAACGATATATTTTCTAGAGAATTATTCAACGAAAACCATATCCGCAGGTTTTGTCTCTCTAAGCGCGGCTGACAGTTTTAGTAATTCGAAGCGATAACCTTCCAATCGTGTTTACCAACAGCTAATAGCACTGATTTAGCAGTGGACACAAGTCATTCCCGAATATAACTGCGTCGTTTCAGTAGAAAAATTCAGGTTGTCAAGATCACTGACAGTTTGACTTGTACTCGCATAAATTTTTCATGCTCTCGATTCACCTGAGAATAATTAGTCCCAGTCACAAGTCACACTTCGGCGACTTACTTGCGAAAACAAACATTCCAAGTAAAAAATCAAGTTGGAGCGCTTAAGCGTCTCAATCAGTGATGTTTCCTTTTGCTTTTTACTTTCAATAAACAGCTGTTTACTTCAATTGATAGCAGTATCTTTTTCTCAGGCCTCCGCTAACTCAATGCCCTTTCTCGGTTTGTGATCTGATCTTTAATTTTGTCCGTGATCCGAATCGAAACCAAACCGAGCGCGACCTGTTCTCCCCAAATGACGTAATGCAATCCCCGCAAAAACACTGATCTTCGATTCAACAGTTGGACGGATGGTTTTACGCTTGTTAACCCCGAAAAAAAAATCTTGGCGGCAAATCTAGACGCAACAGTGGATCTGCAAATAAGAATTTCCAAAAAAAATTCTAGTCATTCTCGGCAAAGTGATTTTTGCACTTCGCTTAACTTGATGGTGATCGCTGAAAAGAAACGACCATGAAGAAATGCCGGCTGATTACCTTCGAACCATAAAATCTTTAACAACTTTAGCGCTTTGCCTCTTTAGTCTTCTGCAGATTACTGGTATGTATTTTCTGTATTTCTACGGAGACTGCCAGAGTATGATTTGAAGGTTTTAAACTTTGCTAACTGTAGTTTTTCATCACAGGTACCCGAACAAGTTTTGACTACTCCAAATCGACTTTCACTTGCGAAGGCGATGGAAAAGTGATAACATATGGCTTTTTATCGGCGAAATACCAAGTTTACAGACCCTCGCCTGCTTACACTCGTTTTCTAAGCTCCGTCACTAATTTCCATGGCTGTGTTAGGCGCTGTTGCCGTTTGAAATGGTGCAAGTATGCTTTGTTATCGCGCCGTGAGTGTTACCCGAGTTCCTGCAGTGAACGACTTTGCTTGTACCGGAAACTCCGGAATAATGATGCTTATTCAAGCCCTGGATACAAAGCAGGTTTTACAACTGCAGTACAAGGTATTCTTAAACTTGATCTGCACTTATCTTTATTTTGTTTTCACTGCACGGTTTTCATAAACCAGCGAATACGCGATACCCGATACCCTTAATCCACTGGCAGTGGTGTAATTATAACGGATTTAGCCAAGCATAATTTCAGCAAATAGGTCCCTAGCATGGCAGCGGGTGTTTAATTAACACAGGGTAGATTTATGTCTCTACACGAGACATTTTTCTTAGCAAAATCGTGACTACATTTTTCAATAAACGCATTTTTTGTTACAACTTTTATCTTTTCGTAAGCGCGCGAATGACAGAGCGAAAATGCCATTCATGATCTCAGCGTACAGGAATGAGAAAGCTACACACACTAAAATCTTTTGACATTTTATGTCTTTTTTCCTTAATAGCCCTTGTAATTTTAATTGTTGTGTTTATTTTTATGTCTCTTCTTGATTCTTCCAACTGTCCCGTCCTTTTTATCTAATCCAGATCCGGTCAAACTCAGCTAAAAATATATATTTTGGATCAGAACCTTTTTTTTTTCTTCGTTTTCGAACTGATGCCATCACTCGCCTTTACAATACCACCAACTGTTTCATCATTTTATTTCAAAAAAACGCTTTTTTTATTTGATTCACTCGTTTTATTTCTGACCATATTTTCGTCCAGACCATCACATTCTGTTCTGAATCCATTCCTCATCACTTTTATTTCTCTTCAATGAAATCAACTTATTTCTGCTAATTATTATACGAATCCATTAGTTTAGAGAAAGGAGAAAAAGCTAATCTTTTCTCGTAGGGGAAAAATTTACTTTGAGCATCTCGCAGAAAGATTTTTTTGTTTCGAGGCAGAGAGGTAAAGAGCTCTTGTTGTTTTAAAAAATCCATTTCTTCTGCTCGCGCGAGTTTTGAATAAATTTTTTTTTTCAAGATTTGCCCACGCTCGATCGGGTGCAAGTTCACTGCTAATTTTAAGTCAAATCCATTTCCCGTAGCGCAGCCAGTGAACACAGAATCAGTCGTTGTGTAGAATCGCTTCGGTGAAGCTCGCAGCGTGAAACATAAGCGTTGTAGTGTGAAATGCTTTTCCCTTCGTGCGTTTGACTGGGCATTTACGCGGCTGAATGCGTGAAAAGGGCTCTTTAGTGTATATCCGAACTTTTTATAAGCGGGAATTTCGATCACTTTTGATAAGCCACTGCCGATGGTGTAATGGGCAGCTGTGTCACAAGGTGAAACCCAAACACGACAGCCTGCTCGCTTCACCAGTGACCGGCTTTAACTGAAACTCCAGCATTAGCCAAACTAATGCGAATGAAGTTCTTCCCTGCTTTATCTTGAAAATTTTCGAGTCGAAATTACCGTGCCATCTATTAAGTTTAGTCATAGCTTCGGAAATGGTTGGTGCTTCATTAGTTCGGCTAAAAACCGCAAAGGCCCTTGGTAATAGGAAAGGAAGATTCCTCAGCAAGGCAAAACCAATTTATCAGTTCAAAATTAATTTAGGTGCCTCATTCTCCATAAATCTGTGCCTTTCGTTTCAGTTCGTACTTGATTTATAGCTTGTTAACTTATTTGGAAGCTTCTCAAGCCAAAAAAAAAAAGATCTATAAAGGAGTTTTAATTTTTCTCACAGATTTTACGCGACCCCCTCTCAGCGCTGACAATTGTAAGAGAAGTGCCATTATATTCAACGCTACATTAGTGAATGGTTATCAGTCTGGAAAATTCGTGGACCATGGAGACCTGGGCACGATCGCTGCATGCCAAGACATGTGCTGTCAATCACCTATGTGCGATGTGGCATTTTTGGTGGGAAAGCGGTGTTATTCTGTGTATTGCCACAGTGAATCTCAGTGTCTATGGACGCCATCTAAACACAACAAATACATGCTACAACTTTCTTACATCCACAGTGCCCACCGTATTTCAAACAGCGGTAAGTCTACTTTGATGCCATGCGCCGCGTATTGCACACGAGAATCGGAAACTCTATGAGTAATGAATTCCAGTGAAACAGGCATATCAGTTCTCCAAGAATTTTCAGTGTGAAGGAGTTTAAAAACAGTGTAGTCGACAAATAAGGAGCGCATTTTGGGGTATTGTTACTTCCCTAGGATGGGATGTTATACAGCAATGTCAGTATCTGACCAGCTACGCACCTACCCCTCCCAAAACCAACACTTACTCTAATTTGTTGTCAGTTTGCTGTTGTTGAGTTAGGGGAGGGATAGGTGCGCAGTTATCCAGATACTGACATTTATCCGATGTTATTCCCTTGCAAGTTGCCCCCTTTCCCCCGGCCCCCCCCCCTCCCTCACGTATTTCGTTCGGTTAGGTTTCCTTAACAGTCTGACACATGTCAATTATACTGTGGCTGGAAAAGCGTATGTTAAGAGTTTTCTTGGTTAAACCTTACAAATTTTTTTGTTGTTATTTAGGGCCGTCGCTGAAGGCGAGTCATCCCACAGAGGTCTCCCTGAGAGTGGAAGCAGATGCAAGACCTATCAAGAATGACAAGACTGAACGCGAACAAACAGCTGCCATTGCAGCGTCCAACAGAACAGAGAAACACCGAAAGATGTCAATGGCACCTCTCAACAAAACAAAAACTAAAGGTGATAAAGAAAACAAGGTGTTGCCACCCAGTCATTCCAAGAGCTTGGCTGGTAATACTGTGCGAGCAATGCCACATAGGTACGGAAAGGGTGGTCGAAGTGAAACAAAATCGGGTAAGGCTGCTATAGGTGTGTCACACATTGGAGAGAAAGCTGTGTCACGCAAAGCTCTCAAGGGAGGACACTCCTCGACAGCACGAGCTGCAAGGCCACGTGCCTCAACGTCACGAACTGCTAGGTCACGTTCGGTAATGTCACGTGCTGAAAAGTCACCTACTGCCAGGTCACTTGCTACAACGTTACCTGCTGCAACGTCACGTACTACAACGTCACGTGCGATAATGTCACGTGCTCTAATGTCACTTGCTGTAACATCACATACCGCAACGTCGCGTCACAAGATCAGCACCAGAAAGGCAAAAAGTGATTTAAGAGCAGTACAAACTTCCAGTATCAGCGGAGCTAGAAAAGAATTGAAAGACAAGGGCTCAAAAATTTCCGCGTCAAGGAGACACAAATCCACGGCTACTGTGGCGAGAAACGTATCGTTTCCTCATCCGTCGTCAAACCAATCGAAGTCAAAGGAACTTATAAGGAGTCCAAACCCTATGTTCGTGGGTAAACTTTCTGCGTCAGCAGCAATCACTCCTAGCACATCTCATTCTTTGAAGAAGTCATCTCTTTCCAATGTGAAGACAGAAGATTTAATCCAAGCCAGATCACGAGCAGTGACCATAACAATGGAGCAGAAAGTTCCAACTCAACGAACTGCTCAAGGTAGGGGAACAGAACATCTTATTCTATTAAAACAAGGAGAGTCACCTTTTTGGCTGTCCACCTTTTTTTCTTTGTCTAATTGATAAGGTATTCTCTTAATTTGTTTGGCAGTAGAGTAATTGTCGATCGCGAAAACAAATGATGTCGATGTATCCACGAGAGAAAGGGCTACCCGTAAAAACAAGTTGTTGTTTTTGTTTGTTTGTTTGTTTTAATTTCTCGAAGCGATATGAACCTTAAAGGTCAACTCTGCCTCGAGCACTCGGATGTAACTTCGAAGGTTTTGCAATTAGGCCGCAAATTTGATGAGCAACTCTATTGAGTTATACACTGGGTCGATTTTGTCCGAATTCGTTTGGTAAACTATGAGAAGTAATAATCAGAAACAAACTAAAAAAAAAAAAATGTGAGATGTCGTCGTCGGCGGGGCATCAAGCAGATGTCACACGTTTTCGAACTTCTACTCGTAACTCGAGTGGTTCTTAACGCGATAGCCAGTACTTGAGGGGAACAAATTTTCTTCTTAGGAGAGTTCCATAGCACTAGTGTCCGACATGTACAGCAGTGTTCAATTAGGAGGTCATGTGGGGGTGACATCACACGCATGTGCAGTTCCTAGCTTTGTGATCGAGGCTCTCAGAGAGAGCAGCTATTCTAAGTAAGTGACCTCAAACCTGTTCATAGATCAGATAATGGGTAGCTCTTACAAACAAAATTAGGTCAAAGATGAACAGGTAAGTCATTTATTAGCCTAAACTTCGAATTATTTTAGGCAAGTAAAACACATGTACAGTTCATGTGATTTCAGGCGTATCTGTTTTTAATCTCGTTGCCAGGGCTCCTTGTTTTTAAAACTTTCCTGTTCGAACTCGCTTTGTTAAATTATTTGGAATTTCTAGTTCCTCTGTAAAACGTTTTAAGTGGCAAATTCTCATATTTGTTTTCAACTTTACTTTTAAACTGGTGTTGACAGGCGAAGCTAGATCAATATCAACAAACGAAATCTTGGCCTTCAAAATATTTCGGACAGTACCACTTGATCATTAATTTAGGGCGATAGCATGGTATCCATGTTACTTATGATGTATCAGTTAGATTACAGAGTGTGCGAGAGGTGAAGGAAGTGATATCCAAAGGGTTTGGAGATCTTATAGATGTATTGTTTAGGTTTACTAATGATTTTATTTGACATTTTCGAGTTTTCTCCGCAGTAAATGACGTTCTATTTACAAATAGAACCTTGCTTTGATTTAAATAGGAAACAGTTCTTCTCCAGGCAGAAGACCTTTTCTTTTACGCTTTTTTTGTTGGAAGAATATCCAGAGAAAAACTTTAATGGATGGGGATTTTTAAAAACTCCCAAACCTGTTTCAAAGTCGATATATTTTGTCGTTTTCTAACGCTTCTTTTGATCTCAAAATTCGATGCCTCTTTAGGCGATAAGAAAAAAAAACATATTTCCAATTTATCGATGAAATGTCGTCGTTATAGACTCTCTCATTCTCATAACCTAAAACTGAAGGAATGTTTGGAGTTGAGCAATGAGAATTAATATTTCAAGCTTTACACGTAAGGAAATAATTCTTGAAAGACTCAGATGTCAACTCACCAGACACCTGCTCTGGGTAGTGAGCTATTTATCAGTCTTATCTTTGCTTCATTGGTCTGCATCTGAAATTACCACCAGTGTTAATTGTTTGTCGAAGTCAACATAATCCCTTAGGTCAGATACTATGAATGGAGCACCGGCCATTATTCAAATATTTTTGAAGGTAAAGAGGTAAGACGTGGTGAGAAGCGAAAAACTGTGGGTGTAAGTGGGTTGATCTTGTGAGTGCTGATGACTTTACGCGAGCAGATGCAAGGTGACATGAGAGAATATGCTTTGAATGAAAGCGTCTGTTAGGTCGGCCACAGTTACGGTTGATTTTATATGGAAGCGTTCATAAGTCTTGCTTAGAACTTGTCTCGGAGTTCCTGTCTCGCTTAGACTTCTCATAATTCAACAGATCCGGCAGGTAACCTTTTAAGCTTTCTAGATCGCTGTAAACACCGTAAGCAATTTCGAAATTGTATCACAGGGGTGAATTTCAGCCCATGGCTTTGTTCATATTCCAATTGATGACCTATTGCGTTATTTTCGGGGGTTGATTCTTTTCTTTTCTTTTTTGTTTTGTTTGGTATTTTTTTCAATATTATTATCATTGTTTTTCGATCTCTATCGGCTGTTTTAAGACGAAGGTAGGGTGTAGTTATTTATTTTAAGAAATATCGATATATCAAGTTTCCATCTTCTTCAAAAATCAAGTTTTGTTGTCCTACCTCGTTACTTATACCCTGATTTTGCTAATGGTATATATAAAGTTTCATCTTTTTGTACTTGTGAAGAGCTGTGAAGAAGTAACTAAATACTGTTCATATTGAAACAAATTTCCAACCGCAAAGTAACTTTTATCCTATTTACATCTCGCAGCACACCGAACAATAAAATCTGGTTCAGGCTCCCTCAGTCGTGATACAAAGGATGCTCGAGGAAGGAAGCATTCTCCTCTTCCAACACCATCTAAAGAGAGGACGCTGCGCTCGTCGAGATCATCTGAAACCCCAAATTTATTTTCAACGATCACAAGTGCATTCAACAACGCCAATGCCACCAGCGAAGCAATTCTGTCGACATCTGTGTCTTCTAAGGACGTTGGAGATGACACGTCAGAACTTTCGGGTCTGTATCATCTGATATCCTTTAAAGACATAAATAAGTCGGAGGAAAATGTAAGTAATTTCCCGACCCCCTCTATAACCGTGTCTAGTCGTGATGCGAAGAATTCTCGTCACCGGGATTTGGCAACGATGCTGGCCGAGCTGGCAGGGAAGAGTTCTCGTCGTACCACGACGAGTAATCCGGCGCGCATTCTGGAAACATCCTCAACAATAAAAATTACACCCATGGAAAGCGCTCTCCCTGGGAAGGAAGGTAAGTATCGTTGTTAAATAATTAACTTTATCGTAGTTGTATGTCTTTTTGAGCGAGGAATGGGTGACGGTGAGATAACACTTAATGTCTCGAAACTCCTTAGTGCTCAGTTAACTTATGTTGCCACAGATCTAGTTGACGTCATATTTCCATTCTGCTGCGTTTCCTTTTTGGTTTTTTTTTTTCGGTATTGTTTGTTTATTTATTTCAAGGATTTCCTGACTAAGGTTACACTCCCATGTCTTGTTTGTTATCTAAATAACATCTTCCAAATCAATGTTTTGAACCATACATCTCATGACTCGACTACGATGTTATCATTTAAGAAGGCCGGCTTTTTAACTCGAAATGGCTCATCCGCGCTTTAGTTGGAGTTTAGTCTTTTTGGAATGGTTAGTCCAAAAAAAAAAGTGGTATCTCTAATCTGTTAAGTTAAAGCCAAAAATTCAGAAATGAGATCTTCTAACTGAAATAAAACAAATTTCCCCCAAATTGCCTATTTTCTATTTTCCTAGTTTTCACATTTTCCAAATTTCTCTATTTTCTCTCTTTCGATTGACCCAACAGTTTTAATAAATCTGTTGGCTTACAGACCATTTTATTTTTATTCTGCTAGTTGAGGAAAGCATGGTGACGAGCAGGGAAACAACCCTTCCAGTCGACGTCGCAACTCCCTCGTGCCATTACGGTCACGTGTACTACAACTATTCTTTACTGTATGGCCGAAAGGCAGGAAATTTCACTGAACAAGGAGAAGTGGAGAATATGAGCGAGTGCCTCCGTATGTGCTGCAAGGAAACGTCCTGCAAAATTGCTCTCATGCTGGAGCAGAATTGTTATTCCGTGTCTTGCCGCGGAAAATTTTGTCAAACCGTGCCTGTGAACCCATTACAGTTCAAGCCGAGAATTGCACACGTTATTAGACCTAAAGGTGAGCATAGAATGTTTATTCTACGTTCCGAAGACATAATGTGTCAAAAAAATTGACTGGAACGCACTGTAATTGTTTTTCTTGGAATCAAGTTATGTCGACTAAATCGCTGAGCTTTCATCAGTCTGTTGGAGGTATGGTTACACAGCATTGAAATGTGTAACCACTCGCTCAGAGAAACCCGATGGGAGTATGGCATCCTTTGTACAGGCCCAAGTGGCCCATGGGGCCGGCGCTTAGCTCCGGTTTTCCCAGCATGAAGCAGCAAGGAGTATCGATCCGGGGTCGAGCGCTAACCATGAGGTCACTGCGCCTTCACGAAAGAGTTTTGGCTTAAAACCTTGCAGTGATCGCATTTACCAAGTTCTATTGCACAGGCGAAGATTTTCACTAAATATTCCCTTTTCAATATAAGGCGACCTAGTAGAGATTTTCTCGACCTACAAAAATTTATCTTTTTCTCAAGTGGTGTCTGTTTATCTCTTTTCCTGCAGTCATTTTGAACACCAACTCCGGCTTCCCGTTCTCCTCGCCAAACCATTCCCATCACCCTCCAGGAGGAGTCTCTTACAATGTTACGCTACGCCAGCACCAGGCTCCTCTCGGAGTAGGTGGTGGGAAAGCTGAGCACCACAGCTTACCAAAGGCGCGTGGCAAAGACCAAATCAGCCAACTGGACGAGGGTAACCAGGAAACCAACAAAAACGACACCCAATGGAACAGCCCGTCTAGGTTTCCCTACAGAGTGTTTGAGATTTCTTCGAATAGAAAAGTACAGGATAACGGAAAGAAGCAGCGAGAGTTCTCCTTGAGAGAGTTTGATCGTTTGGATACTCTTCTTAATTTATCCCTTATACATAAACAGCGTGCTCTGTACATAGCAAAATATTTAGTCAAGATTGGAAAGACAACTATGGAAACAGGCTTGAGAATGGTGCAGATCCATGGTGGAAACAAAACGCAGCACGATCACCACGAGGATGCGGTTAAAATCGGTCGACGCTTGATTTCTGCTGGCGAGAAAATTTTGTCCCGTGGGGAGAGAGTTCTTAGAAAGATTATGAATCCAGCTGGTAAGGAAAAACCCAGGAGACATAGAACAAAGATACCAGCTTCGAGAATCTCAGAAATTCCAGTTGTGACGCCAGTTATTAAAATGATATCACTCTGCAGTCACGGTCCGTCTTACTACGGCGTCACTCTGCTGGGGGGATTTCGTGCTGGGCACTTTGTCGGACACGGCCAAGTCGACAGCATGCAAGCATGCATAAAAAAGTGCTGTGCCAACCAGGATTGTGATTTGGCTTTCATGGTGAGGGAAGACTGCTACTCGGTTATTTGTTATCATAAGAGTTTGTGTCGCAGCGTGAGAGCGAAGCATGTCAAGAAATATCAACCGCGTATTGCGCATATATGGAGAGGTTCAAACCACGAGAAAGAAGGCGTTAGCGGTCAAGGAAAGTCTCCAGCGCAGTCACAGAGCTACATGATTGAGAGGAAACATATTGCAGCTGGATCTAAAGAACAGAAAGGCGCTGTAATCTCGAAAAATCATATGAAATCGAGAAAGGCAAGCAAGGTGGCTACATTGAGACACAAGGGAAATGGTATTGTGTCAGGTAAAATCGGTTCGCCTTCGCAGCCCCGTATCCATAAAGGCACTCACACACCAAAGACTAAGAAGGTTGGAGTTATGCAGTACAATCACTCGGAAATTAAAAAGCGTATTTCGAGTACTAAAGTTCACTCCCATTTTTCTTCGAGTGCAAGTTTTAAGAAACAGTTTCCTGGCAAAAATGATGGCAATAAGCAAGGTTCCGTCTTAATAAAGGCTAACACCCAAGCTACTGACACTGAGGACCACTTACACTCAGTAAGTTACAAAGAACCAAACCTCGCTGCACGTAAGCCCAAAGTCAATGACAACACATGTCGTCACTCTGCTATCCAGCATAATGTTGGACTCCGTCGTGGCTTGAAAACAGGAACATTTGCATATATTGGAGAATTTTCCGATATTACGAAGTGTCTGAAAGTGTGCTGCCGTGACCCGAAGTGTGATATAGCATTCATGTTAGACCAGTCATGTTATACGGTTAACTGTGCGAATGAATCAGTTTGCCATAGTGTTTCGTATCATCAGCATCAGTATTCCACAAGCGCAGTGTTTATTCGCGGGCGTTTTCACAATAAAATTTCTTCAGTTAGTGGACTTCAGCGAAAAGAAAGTTTCTCGCCTACAAAGAAAGCCATTTTAGGGACTGGCTTTGCAATGAGAACTGTCACTTCCCGAAAAGACATTCACGATTTGCGACAATCAGAAAAGACGACAAAAAGGGTCAGGGCACCGCATAATGGGTCCTCTGCTGAAAACAGTTCGGATAAGACAAATAACATAAAGCCGTGGATCGAAGAGAACATAAAGGTTAATTTCTCCACAATTCTACAGCATCCCAATCAGAGCATAACATCTGGCTTTTCCAAAGTCACAGGAAACTTCCATGGCAAAACCGAATGGAAAGTCGAGAACATTAAAGTTAATCTTTTGAACAAGGAAACATTAAAGAATTTGTCGCCTGCAGTGGATCAAAAATCTACTTTAACAAAACCTTCTGATCATATTGCACACCAGAGTCACCTTGACACGCGAAACAAAGTTCCTGGGAAAAACTTCTCGGTCAATAAGTCGGTCTCGTTTGACGATTTCTCTACAAAAGCTGAGCAACAATTACAGAGTATTCCAGCGAGGAATTACGGCAGAGAAGGAAAAGCGTTGAAAATCAAGAAAGGAGAAATCGAGCAGAACAGTTCCTTAAAAATGAGGATTGATTTCAACACTGGGAGTGGTTTGTTCCAAGGTGAGTCAGATTATTACAAGGAACATCAACATCGCAACAAGTCGTTTAATTCTGATTTCTTCCAAAATGATGAGGATATACATGGCGAAAGTGCCAAGACAGAGCATATAACGAGTGGAAGCGCGAGTTCAGATGGTTTTTACGGTTACGAATCTGGATCATCTAGTCCGTACACGAGCGGTTCTACGCCAGATTCATTTCACGAATCAGCGGGAGGTTCCGCAGACTTCGATGTTGATGGAAACTTGCAAAATTGTTCCACCTACTCATACTATAATATGACACTTCGAGCAGGACTAAAAGCGGGGAATTTCACCTTTTTTGGAAAAGTTACTTCAACAAAAGACTGCGTAGCTCGTTGTTGTTTAACAAAGGGATGCGATGTGACATTCGTGGTACTAAATAGATGTTTCCTAGTTGATTGTTTTAGTGATGATTCGTGCGATATTATTAACGCTAGAAACACCAACAGGTTTAAACCTGTGGTCACCTTCGTCAACTTAACGCTTATAAGCACCCTTCTTGAAAAATCGTTTGAAAACAGTAGCCTCGTGTCGGATATTTCAATTCAAGGTGACAACGAAACTAACGAAGCGTCGAATACCCAAGTTGAACCGACGCATGAAATTGGCATCAGCGTGTCCCGAACAATAGAATCGGAACGTAATACGCGTGTAACTCAGAGTCAAGACTCGGTTTCTTCCCCTATAAGGCTGCACCCGTCGGAGTGTATTTATAGTTTCCCCCTCCGCAATGTATCCTTCCGAATCGGGCGGAAAGCTGGGATATTCATAAATCACGGGGTTGCCAAAAACGTTAGCGAATGTGCTGAGTATTGCTGTCTATCTCTAACCTGCGACGTGGCATTCATGATATCCAACGATTGCTTTTTCGTACGTTGCCACAGTGACAAATCTTGCGAAACAAAGACAATCCGAAACTCTACATTCTATCCGAGGATGATTTTTGTGAAGAAGCATGGAGTCACGCTCAAGGGCAGGGCACACAAAGCTGCAAATGATTTGTTGGTAAATCCATCACCGAGCTCCCGATGGAGTTCACGCATTCCAACAAGGGCAACACTTTTCCCAGTAAACGTTTCCCTTGATTTGCCTCGAACCATTGCGTTAGTTACTTCACTTTACGCACTACAAAGTTTGGTTGTAACAAAATCATCTGTGCTTAGTGTGGAAACGTCCATTCCGACTGTTACCCCTTCAGAGGAGAAAGGACCTAAACGTGGGGAGCATGTTTTCGATCCGTCAAACCTCGTCGAAGTGAAGACAAACGGTTCTGAATTTTGGTGGCAGCACTACTCACCAGACGATGGTCAGATTAGAAATTCCAACTTCACCGTGGAAATGCCCAAAGTTAAGAACGACAACAGTGCAACGCCAGCCATTGCGACGAACAGACCCGTTTCGCAAACTTTAAACG